CGTCAATGAAACGTAAACAAAAGCTTCGGACCCTTATATCTCTGGAACTAGCCACCGCATCGACTTGAAACTAAAATCCTCATATCTCCGGAACTAATTACGCTATCGACTCGTTCGAACGCTCATTTTAAAGGGCATTTCATCCCCTATCCGACGACTATATCAACTATTGTTATTTATATTATCTTCTATGTTTATTTTGAAATTTATTGTGACTCTAAACACCCAAAGAAATTTCAGTAATTCCTATCGATTATACGACCGATGTGCGATAAAACTATATCACAAATTGTTTGTTTAATTGAAAATTAATTTAAATTTAAATACAGAATGCTTGGGTAATTACTAGCCAGCACTTTTCCTTAATTAATTGTTTTCTCTAGAACTAACTGCGGTATCGACTTGAAACAAAATTCGTTTTCAAGGGCATTTTATCCTCTATTCTTTAAAGCCTTTAAAAAACAATGAACTAATGAATGATTGCATAAATCTTCAAATAATTACATTGATATATATTAAACAATTATTATTTTAAACTTAAAGGTTAAAACCAGATATCCAAATATTATACAAACTATCTAATGTTCCCAGAGTACTATTCAGGATAACGATGTTATCATTCCGTATATCCTCGATGAATATATTCGTACATAAATAAAAAATTCTGAACAACACGAGTGAATTTATAATCGATATCAGCAGGGCTGTATTAGCGTCTTCTCGAGTCCCGGAGCAGGGTCCCTAAAATTCAAGATGTCGCGGGACGATGGATTACCGATGACGTTACACGTAATCAGGATTCCATTTGCAGAATCCTCGAGGGTCTGGCTCCTCGTTGTCGTACGGTGGAAACGATCCTCGGACACGTCGGGACTCCGTACCCCAACGCCACGATTGGACCCCCCCTATGCAATCTAAAGCGCGCCTCTGATCTGCCATAAAGTCATTTCGTAACCCATCCCGAGGGTTAAGTACCGTCGAGTCCCAAAATCCCGAGTTGAGAGCGGCGAGCGTGTCGCGCTTCAAAGTTTCGAGCCCCCGCGCCCTTCGTCGCGTCGAACAGTTCGATCGCGGAGAGATCCGCCACGGCGGATTCTTCACCGGCGATACGAGGCAATTTTCGAACGCGAAAGGAACGGGTCCGAGCGATAAATTCACCGAACGGAACGAGCCGCGAGGGTGACGGTTGCGCCCGGGGATTAAAAAATAAAAGCTCGTTATAAATCAAACGACTTGTCAACGAGCAGCGGCGGCTGGGCCTCGGCGCTGTCGCGAAACGGGCGAGATGGGGTGGCCAGGGCCGATGAAAACCCTTTCGTTAATTGCGCATCGCAGATGCCGGCCGTTGCAGCCGCTCTTTACGAGCCACTCTTTCCCTCGGCGAGCGTCGAACGACCCTGGAAGAAAAAGAGAGCTTTTCTTTGCCCCGAGGAGAGGAAACTCGCGTCGTAAGCTCGGAAATGGCCTTTAGCTGGAAGCAGTAATCGTAATGCCTGGTGTACACTCGAGAGTTTCAGTCTCGAGAAGAACTCGCTGGCTCTGGAGGACCAGGGACGTAACCAGGAGCCTTCCCCGGTACGAACAGAACATGTGAAATATATATTTTCCCCAAACTCGTTTCTTAGTATTTGTTGTGACGTTTGGCGAATAGAGAGACGCGAGATGCAGAGTGCAAAAAGTGTTAAACGATGGAAGAAGACAACGAGGCTGTTGGTTCTGAAATGGAAGATCGTGCTTTAATGGAAATGAACACGAGAAAGCACTTTACATAAAATAATGTATTTATTGTTAATACCCCACTTCGCTACAGCGATTAACATTGATTTAACACAACTTATACCGTAATTCTATGTAATGTATGCAATTTCCACACTGACACGATGCCTGGCTGTGACGGGACCTTGGAACGATCGCTTGCAGCAGGACGATACGAGAGAAATCTGTAAGCTGTAACAATACAAATAAATCGGTCCGTATAATGAGTAATTTCGAATAAATCTTTATTCGGATAATCCTTAATCTTAAACTAATTCCGTGTATCGATAAGACCATCGTTGTCGTTAAAAAGCAAATTTAATTCGGTAATAGAATAGCGGAAAAGATTGTTTTCATCGATATGTAATTGCTACAGAGTTAACAATGAGATCTAGCACGCACCAAACTGCATGATAGTAATTAATTTTGAAAATAGACGAATCATTTTCCGTCCACGAATCATTATTTCTCCACCGTCGTCGTTATTATCATCGCGTCGGTGACATTGGTTTTTTGAACTGAAAATCAGATTACAACCTTAAAAGTTACTAATTATATTTGACATGCAAATCGCCCGTCGAGCGTTGTCAACGCATCTTTACTTTCTGCTGAGTTGTGAATATAATTAATCATGTATCGAACCCGATGTAATTGATAGGTATCGATACGAGAGTCGCGTGTATCAATAAGTATCTATCGTTCGAAGATTGAATTAATTTAATTAATCCCTTCCTTGGAAGCTATACATAAATTTGCATGATATCCATCACGGAAGCGTGCGGAGTATAGAAATTGTATACACCATGACCATTTAGAAAATCACCCCTTTTCGTAAGGATATATTCCTTTCCTCCGCAGGGGATGTTATCTCACTGACAGTTACAAAAATATTATGCAAAACATTCGCTGCATTAAAGTAGCAAATTTTTAAGACGCTGTCACTTTGGAGTTTATCAATTTTTTCTAATCCTAGCCACGACCACGCTCGTACAGTTTAATAATATTCGATGTACCGAGGGTGTCGAAATCGTGTCAACTTCGAGAGTGTTTTTTCCACAACAAAGAAAGTCGTATCGAAAGAGTTGTAATGCGACAGAGTTCGAGGGTGGTCCGCGTCGTCTTAGAATCTTTCGTTCCAGCGACGAACAGGGTGCAAGATCAGTGGGGTACGGGTTTGGCAAGGCCTTCCGGGGGTCCGGGAGAGCCCTCGGATATCTCCAAGGCGAGATCTCTTCTTCGCGGCGAAGGTGGAGTCGGGGCGAGAGTGTGGAAGGGCGACGGGACCCCGAGGAAACGTTATTAATTGGCTACACGATAAAACAGTGTTAGTCCCCATTCGCTGTCCTTCGCTGGACCCCCCCTGGCTTCTTCTTAAGATATGGGGCCACGCGACTTGGGGGCAAGAGTATTCGCGTGTGCGTGCGCATATCCGCGTGTTTCCGTGCTGGAGGTCCCGCGAGAATCGGTCCCCGAGGAAAAGAGAATACCTCGACCGCCACGGGGATGACGCGATTTCGGCCCAAAACGACCCACGGAATCTCCAAGATCGAATCGCGAATCGGAAACCGCGGCCTCGACGTCTTTCAACAAATTTTATTCGAGAACGATTCCTCGACTAGCTTCGAGCCATTCTCAACTAAAATATTCCTTCACTCGTACAATATAATGTAATTTTTCTGACGTATGCTATTTAATTTTCTTTAAATTTGTTTTTATAAGGAATGGCCACGAAAAAGAATAAATCTATTTTACGATCACCTCGTGAATGTAAAAATGTGTTGATATTAATATGTAAGACTCGATGGCAAGTGAGTAACCTTATTCATTGTACGTCAAGGGGTTAACAATCTTCAAAACTGTTGATTTATTTATAAATTACCAGGAATTTAAAAAATATTAATAGAACCTTTTCTATAAAGAATCCTATAACCTTCAATTTTGATTTCAACCATTTTCCCGTAAAATCGACAGTCGGCGAGATATTTGCAAAAAACAGTGAATCCGTCCACGATTCGTCGGCGCCCCGCGAAACCGGAAATCGTCGCGTTTATGAAAACTTGGCGTCTCTCTGGTCTACGAAGCGCACCCCTCGGCGCGATATTCTAATTTATAGGCTACTAATTAAGTGGTAGGGACGGCTGGTCGGTCGGGCGCGAGGTAATTAAATTTCGCGCGCCAGAGAGGAAAGAAACGCGAAAATACAAAAGGGAGCCCTCGGTCCGTTTCCACCCCCGACTTCTCCCGAGTCCGCCGGTTCCCCCGGAGCGTACCATTTTTTGCTCGTTTCTCGGTTACAACGCAAATGCCTTGAACTCCCACTCCCTCTCTCTTGTTCCTCCGGTCGTCCCCGCATTCTCGTTCGCTCCTTCTCGATTTCTGTTCTACCTGGGGATCGGCGGGTCCTTTGGTTCGCTCGTTACACAGACCCCGGTGTCGATGGGGTATATATATCGCGTGTGTTTCGCGTTTCGTACCCCTATCGTTTCCCCCCTCGATCCCCCCATTCCGCGCGTCCACTCTTCCACGATCGTTTCTTCCTCTTTTCTTTTTTTGTTTTTATATTTTTTTTTTTGTTTCGCGATCGCGGTGCGTGCATGTCGGCCGTTGTTGCCGTTGTTGTTGTTGTTGTCCCCTCCCATGGACAAGGGAGCGAGCGTATGAGCGCTATAGGCCATAAGGGCTAACAAGGCGATTACTCATGCCTCCCATAAGAAGAAGTTACAAGCGGGTTCGAAGGTTTATTGCGGCAAATGGCGAAATTTGTACCTTGCTAACGATCGACCATCTTTTTTGCTCCTTCGCCTGCGCGCCACCACCCCTCCCCATCGATCCCCCTCTCGCTGTCGACTCGGCGTCCTCCTCCCTATCAACGACCGCTACACGGACTCGCTCTAGTCAGCTCGACGGTAATAATTAACGAATCGTAGCGAGTTGATCCACGAGCTCGCGACTGCCGATTACCTCTTTCCTTGCCTCGCGTTGAAATCGTAAATCCAACTCGTGCTTTCGAGAACCTCGAGCCTACCCCGCCCTCGTTATTAACCCTATTGCTGGTTTAGTTCGCGGGAAGTACGCGCAAAGTATACTCGAGAGTTGGACGGAATAGCTCGATATATTAAAATGCAAACAAATTGCCGTGCCAACGAATTAATTACAAGAGTAACTTGGTTATCCCACTCGATAACGTCTCCGTAGGATAGAAGTCTTACCTCGAATCTGACGACTATCGGGGTCATCCGAGTGTTCTGACCGCGCACAATCGACGGACCTCGTCCCCCGGACCCCTTGGAACGTCCTCGAGAATTAAACGCCAACGACGACGACGATGTCTAGGTGGACCATGCACGATAGTTGCGGCTACTGGGTCCGGGAAGTATCCGCGGGACGATGGGCGATCCGTGGGCAGCGAAACTGCAATTTCACAAAGCAGGGCCTTAGTTTTGCGATAATTGGGATCAATGGATCGCAAGGATGGAACCTCCGGACCGTGCATCGCGATCGTGATCGGTCACCCTCGGCTTCCATATCGCCTCAATCTTGCCCGGGCCCGCCGCAGACCGGATCCACGAGAACTCTAATTACGTTTTAGGTGAGAAATTGGGCCTGCAGGGCAATTTTAAGGAAGCCGAGAGCCACTCTGATCAATATCATTACGCGAGCCGGAGATCGACCGTAATCATCGCGAGGGCAACGTCGAGAGAAAATTAGAACCAGGCGAAACAAAAAGGTGGATAGAAATAGCAAACCATCGCGAATAGCTCGACTTTGTTATTGAACAATAACATATATCACGACCTACACAAATATTATTTCGAGAAGCTAGATATCCCAACCGAATTCTAAATAAGAAATAAAATTTATTCGTGAAATTAAAATCACCCGATTGGAAAATTTCTTTGGAAATCAAAGTCCTCTTTCGATCGCCGGTGCACTTTCGTCCCCGATAGTCGGGTCGGAAATTGACCTCGGGTTCAACGTTGCGCGACCGGATGGATCCTGGATCGTAGTCGAACCCACGTCACGCAGGACGAGCGACGTACGCAAATGAGAATCGTGTCTGTTCACGCGTTCGCCATCAATGTTGCACATTTCAACGCGTTTTTTTTTTCGTCTTAATTTATCGCCGACCGAGAAAGGATCGCGTTTTTCCTTATCGAGATACCGGACTCGATAACCATTTAATTGCCGCGCTAATGACGGTTCTTGCCGCGACTAATGATTCCGAGCGTATCTAGTCGGCGACGACAGCGGCGTCTAGAAACGGTAACAGGTAACGCAGATTTATGGAAAAATATTCCAAACGTTGAATCCTACGGATCCGCTCCGTAGTACTTCTCGAATCGTGACCAGGCCGTGCACCGATCCGATGATGCAATTAACGTAATCCGATCGATTATACGTTACGTTTCGCGTCGCCAGATAATGCCCCGCGAATCGAAATTATTGACATTAGCGACGCTAAGCGCTCGACTCGATAATGAACGCTACGGATCGTATTAATCTGCATCGCGACGCCTCGCGATAGATACTCGAAACAGTAGTACGAGCGACCGACGTCCGAACAGATCGTGAAGAAATTCATCTTCACCCTTCGCTGATCGATGTCGTACCGATTAGTATCAGCTACGATCGCTCCAACGATCTCCCAACGCTTCGTCGATCGTTTCCCCGTTCTAGGAAACGTCAGCATCGTTACTTTTTTTTAAACAGGAGGTTGGAAAACAGCTTCTTGGATGATATGCAACAAGTTTTATTTTGCACGCTATTTTTGAGGAAAACTAGAGGACTTGAGAAACGGAGGACGTTTTCGTTATTTATAGTAAGAGTGTTCCCGATCGCCTTTTGCGTCCGTGCGCTTTGGAATTCGTTTTATTTATATACATCCTCCGATCTCAAGGAAATTTTCCATATCGGAATAATTTCCGTGGCAAGTTGAAACGCGTCACGATTGCCGCGTTCCCAGCTACGATTGACAGAAACTTGCCGGCATTGATCGATCGATGAGAAACCAAACGACAAAAACAACCGACGTATGTCCTGCAACAGAGGCGGGAGAAATAGTTCTTATCTACGTACAAATTTCGAACAGCGAATAGCGAACGAGCAACGTTATATCCGTTATTCGTCGAATAAATATAAGAATTCGGAGAACGAATCTATGTTTCAAACAGACAATTTAATATCGTTTATATTAATATTGTCGACGATCGATAGAATAGCGAAAACTTTACCTTTTACAGTCGATTCGAGGCTAGTAATTTTAAAAGAAGCGTCACGATAAATCTTTGACAGAAACGTCGAAGCGACTCGAAGAAGATTTGCTCGTTTTCCAGCCGTGGGCTGCTCCAGGGCTATTAGTCTCCGCGGAGGAGGGAAACTCGGGAATATTAATTTAAATTGCCGGCCAGGAGGAACTGCCACCGTAAATAAAGGAACCTGCCGACTAGTTGGCGAGATAAAAAATACGACCAACGTTTCTTTCCCTCCCATGGAGGCGCAACTCTCTTCTCTGTCTCTTTCGCAAATATGTCAGAAAATAGCTCGATAATATCCATAATGTTCAAGGCATTATAAAAGCAAATTTTGCCTTGAATTAACATTCATAGCATCGTGATTTCGCTCAAACTATAAAGAAGCGATTGTTCCACCAGAAACGCCTTACACGCAACTCTTCCATTACAGAAGTTAATCGTCGCTGTACAGAAATTAACATAAAAGACCAAAAACATAATTAACGAGGAAGAATTTGAAGAAAACGTGTAAAAATGACCACACCTTTCTCGATTGTTGAATTCATTAACACGTGGTTGCTCTGATTAGCTTGGATACATATTTATTCGGCTACCAAATTAAGGACCTTTAACACTAGTGTTACTCACATGTCTAAAATTTTCCGTTCAACCCCAATTTAGTCTTCGTTTCGTCGCGATGCAAAGGACAACGCGAAAAGTAAATTAGCCAGGTTCGAAGATATTGAAATTCACCCCAGGCCAATAAACATCTATCCATCTATCCGGTCCCCCAGTCTCTCGGCGAGCCGACGAAAGAGCAGCGGAGGCGTTGAGGCCCGTTCGACATAAAAAATGAACGAGGAGTCGCCGGTTAGTTGGGCTAATTAATGACCGAATTCATCACCGTGGACGCCGGGCACAATGAGTCGCGCGGGAACCTCGAGCGGATCTCACCCTTCGTCGCCAGCTACGGGACAACCCTTCCTTTACGCGCGGACACCTTTCTGCGAGCAAGCTGCCAGACCCGGAGACAAAACCGAGCGTGACGGTTACGACGGCCGCTTCCTTCGCCGGGCAACGGTCATCCTGGACCGTTTCTGGAGGATGAACCCGATCCGAAAACTGGATTCCGATGCTGCCTGAAAGAGGCTGAGGCCCCGAGTCAGCCAGCGAGGGTAAAGCAGCGGGAATTGTCAGCCGTCCGGCAACGCGCGAAACCGCCGAGGATCCTCTTCCGCAGGGAAATATAATAGCCGACTCGAAACTAGAACGTTTGAATGACGCCTGCCGTGCGACCGCCGACAACCGCCGAGGGAACGAACCCGGGAATCCGTAACGGAAGTCTCCGGGAACATCTTCGGGGACGAGAACGGATTACTTTTATTTTTCATAAATTTAATAGCGCGAGTCAGCATACCGATTCCATCTACTACTTTTGCTGATAGTATTTACAAATTAATTCTGAAAGTATCTCCCTTACCTAACGCCAAGAAAAAGAAAATTGAGAGTAAATAAATAAATTATTGACCAAGGAGATAGAGAATAAAAAAAGAGAATGGAAGTTGGAAACCATTTGGGTGATTTGTTTAGAAAGCAACGAAGAAGCCTGGATTCAGTGTTGCAACTTGATGTTTACGATAGTTGTAAATTGCATTGAAACCGTTTTGAGTTACGTTCTGAACTTATGCTATGTCTAGTATTAAGAGACACCTAATGATCCGTTAAAATTCTATACCAATGTTTAAGATAGCGTTTCACACTTTAAAGATATGACTACTGTCCGGCATTAGGGGAACTCCCCTTCCATGTAAAGGGAATCGTCGCGGCGCTACGGGTCCCCGACGATGGCGGACGGGTGCTCGGTGTTCGAGAACCGACTCCGGGAGACTGAAATCTCGCATCGATAACAAGACAAATTGCGTAGGTACTCCTATAATTAAAGGCCCGGCAGCAGCGGTGGCAGTCAGCGGAGCGGCAATATCTCGGATCGCGCAGAATCCTCGTGTATCCCGTGGCTCGGTCGCGCCGCGGCAAGAAAACCAAGAAACCGTGAGTAGGTTCTCTCGGTTCTCTCCAGGAACGGATCAGATAGTGCACGGTCGTATCGGTGTCGCGCGAACCTGGTCCGCGCCGTAGTATCAAGTCATCAGAGAGCCAGCCAGCCGAGGAGCGCCCGGACGAGCAACAGAGAGGAAACGGCGTTGCTCGTTGCAACGAGCTCCTCTCGTCCGATGATAAATGATACGTTGAAACGTAGTGGGTAGCACCAGGGGAACGGGTCCGCCGATACGGCGCGAAACTTCCTCCCCGCTGGGGTAACAGCCGCCGAGGGAAACGAAGAAGAAGAAGACGGAACGAGGCGGGGAGGGGAAGAGAAAAAGGCCGCGAGGAGCCTAGCCGGCCAAAGAGCAGGTCTTCTGCGTCGTAATGCCGACCGGTGACCAGCAGCAGCCGGTGACCAGCGAGGAGAATCCTGGCCAGAGCTGTTGCGAGTCCCGAAGGCTAGAACTCCTAGGGAATCCGGGCAAAACCGGTCCAGTCGGATCCGGAGCACCCGCTGCTCGGTCCTGGCTGCCTACTATCCTCTACCTGCTCTCTTACTTTTCTCTCGCGCTCAAACGAGCACCGCACTGTCTTTGGCTTCTTCCGTTTCGTGTCCCCTGCCCTCCCCCTCGACAAAATTCTTCGACGATGGAACCGCGGAGTTGCGATTTCAGAAACGGTTTTCCAATACCAGCGATAAAGAGGGTCCACGAAACTCCGCTGTTGTCCAAGTAATTAAGTTCTTTGTCTCTTTGCGTTAATCAAAGTGCGGTTCGAATAGTTGATCGTGTACGTTTATAGCGTGTGGAAGCTTTATCTCGCGTATCTGCGTACTCCGTTTCTTTATCGCGATTCTTAATAATGTTCGACGAACGCTTATTCACATTTCGTTATCTTGGACGCCATATTGTTCTGCGTTTAAAAAAAGTGCCGGTGTACAAGAGAATCGAAATCGACTGGTAAAGTAAGAGTTTAAATGAACCGTTTACTATTGCCAGTGTTTCGTTACTCTAGTTTCCAGGATGATCGGTGGCATCGAACAGATGCTCGGTACTGTCGGCCGAGATACCGGAGCAGCACCTGCGCGAGAAGCCGCCTGCCTCCAGTCGAAGGCCTCCATCGGCGAGTATCGAGCGG